TAAAATATTCTCTCTAGGGAGGATTCTGAAGAGCTTTTTTTTTGTTTTAATTGGAACGAAAACATCATTTGCATAGGACTCAGAATGAATAATTAGTCGGTTGAATAACTTCACTTTACTCGATTAATTTTTTTTTTTAAAGATATTCTCTGTATTAATTCATCAGGTGGACGTTTAGGGCTAGATTGATATTGGGTGCACCAGTTACTATTGAGGCTTTAGTTTTGGTTCTTATATCTAGACATCGTTAATTGTCTTAATTTTCTTTTTCACTGAAAAATCTATTGAAGGTTTGAAAAACTCTAAAAACAATTCCAAGTGAAGTTGGTAACGTTTAAACGAACCCCTTTGTTTGTTAGCTTGTTTCTTGAGTTTTCGATTTGACAGAGCAACCGTTCTCAATCCAGTCCACTCACTGTCTCCACATAAATCTTTAAGTATAGGGATTAGTTAAGTATATTAACTATCTTAAAACTGCTTATTTTGAATGTTTTATTGATGTGGTTTCGTTTAGGATCGAAGGGCTTCCATCTACCATCATACAGAGTATCGATTAATACATTGGATAGGTGACAAGTTATTGGGGCTGGGGACAGAACGTTACCCTTGGGTATTCCGCTGACCGGGACCATTGTACCAAGCTGAAGTGCTCCGGTGACGGGGAACAGATAGCAGCATTCAAGTCGCCCATTGTGCGTCACCCGCTGTGTGTATCTGCTCTTGTCAGTTCTCCAATCTAATCTGTTAGTCCTCCATCATTTTTGCTCTCTGTCTGTTCTCTTCCAAAGTCGCTCCCTTTTTATAGATTTATTTTAACACCTGATTTATTTATTTTTTAAATAGTTCGTTGCGTCACTTCTTTCAAACCGGGGAGGCACGGGTCGGATTCTTCGTGTCGTCCTAAATGACATAAATCAAGTTATTTCATAGGAAGTGGGAAAGCTCAGTGAGTTAGCCCTGACTTCCTGTACTCAAGGTCTCAGGTTCGGGTCTGACTGGCAGATGATTATTTATTGTGTATCGTCAGCCTTGGATCGATCCTGGTATCTGAAAGACCATCTTGGAGCACACCTAGCTTCTATGGTGTGGGTACTCTAAAATAAATAGTTAATTATGAGGTCTGAAGCCTTGCTTTCCCTCCTCATGTGGGGGGATAAGTATGGTTCGGAGTTCCCATGGCCGACTGTAAATAGTGTAAATAGGTATGCCTGCATCTAAGATGTTTATTTTCATTACTTTTTTTAAAGATAATTTTAATTCTAATTTATTCATTTATTTTCATTCTATTATTACTATTATTTCTATTTTCTTTCTGCACTATGATATTTTATTTTGTTCTTTTGTAGCTTTATATTATTTGAAGTTAGCTTATTTTTTTTTTTTTTTTTTATTTGTAAATATGGTGTGAATGTTCTCTCAGAACTCTATTATAAATGTCCTTTATTGAGACAGATTGTAATATTAAAAAAAAAATAAAATAAAAAATTATGAGGAGGCGTGATCTTGGCCCTATCACCTCTCTGGACAACCGTTGTCCTTGAAACTGCATTACCTTACAAAATACTGAACTAGACCCTCCATGGGTTGTAGAAATACTGTACGGGAAACCTGCGGCCTACAAACGTTTTTGTACTATATTCAATATTATAGTGCTAAAATTAATTAATATTTAATAATTTAAATCGTTACATTTAGAAATTAATAGAATTAAGTTGAATATACATACATTCATACCACGTACATATTCAAATAATGTGGGTGTGTATTTAGTGATACATAGAAATAGCAACAGTAAAAATTTAAAGAATTGTTCTTATCTCCATTAGCTCTGGCTAACCTTAATGATAAAAAGGTTGACCACGTAAGGTATAGTGGGTTCTGGTTTAGAAATTTGAAATAAGGCATCTAATACGTAATTGATAATGACCGATTAATAATTTTAAAATTATTTTTTCTTAATGATAATATTTACATTTTCATTTTTGTTGGCTTTTGGTTTACTCCTTTATTTTATACCTAGCCCAATGCTAGATAACTAATTAATTAAATTGATAAATGATAATTAAATTATAATGGATAATAGTTTGATTTAGTCCTATTTTACTTTGAATAAAATCAACTAAAAAAAAAAAAAAAACATCCACTATCACTAACAACCCATGAAACGTCTTGGGTTAAGTACAACATAAGGAAGTTCTGTTTACACGGCCAACGGTTGTGCAGGAGGGTGATTGGGTCGAGATCACGTTTGACTGCCAGGTATCCCCCCTTAATTAATTATTTAATTAAGAGTACCCACTTTATAAAGGCTGGGTGTGCCCAGGAGGTTCTGCTGAATAAAAGAGGGGTCTCTTTGGGTAAAAAACTTCCGGTATAGGGACTACTGTAATCGATATGACAGGCCTGTATTAATCAAAATAGATTTATTTATCAAAAGAGATTGTTTTAGTAAAATTAGATTTAACTGAGAATGGAAGCTCCTCCACCGAGGATATATGGAAAAATCACTAGAGGAAGGCGGATAATTGGGACACTAAATTCTGTGATATGGAACAAGAAAGTGTGTCTCCAAACAAAAAAAGGTTATATCATTCCTGTTTGAAAAGCGTCACTCTATACACGTCTAAAACGTGGCTGATCACCAAAAAGGAGCAGACAAGGCTACTGTCATTGAAGATGAACTTTTTGAGACGCTGTTGTGCCGTTTCCAGAATACAGTTTATTCCCAACAAAAATATTAGGCGGAATGTGCAGCAGAAAACAACTATGCTATACGACATAGAAACCAAAAGGCTGAAATGGTATGGCCATTTACAGAGAATGACGGTGGGCCTATATCCAAAATTAACCTTTTTCCATCAAGTGATAGAAACCCGAAAAAGAGGACTGCAAGGAAGAAATGGTTGCAGGTTCATGGCTCCCTGAGGTCTTCGAGAGGGAGTCTGGCTAGACCGAAAAAAGTGGTAAATCTACAGAATACGATAAACAGCTAATTGTAATAAAATCATAAATAATAAAACAAGATTTGGATGAAAAAATACAGAAATCTAAAGCAGAAGAGAAAGAGAGTAGAAATAGAACGTGCTGAATATTTTATTTTTATCCGTATGCAAATATAAATACAGTAGAGCACATTGTCCAGCATTTCTCTCATGCTTATTTCCTCTCTACAGGAAATGTGCTATAAAACCTGCTTTGATATTGATCGGAATTGAAATAACTGGAATTTTGCTGTGAAAGTTCCTCGTAAACTTCTAGAGAATACAATGTTACAAGCCCAATACGCTGCCTGCTAAACATTTTCGTTTATTTTCCTCACAGAAAACTAAACTTAAGAACTACCTTTTTATTTTATAATCTGATTTCGCTTATAAAAAGACTAAAGAGTGCCGGTATTATTAATATATTGATATTAAATATTTGTAGTGCCAGCTAGATCTAAGATTAGTTTTTGAAAACTTTTTACAAAAATAATAATTTTATAGACTAAATACTATATATTTTTTTTATCGGCAAGTTCTAATTAAAAGTTGGTTCATTTACATATTCGTATGTCCGTTATGTGTATTAAGATAATTATACATCATGCAATTTTCATATTCTTTAATATTATGCGACCGTTGTGCCATTTTCTCAACCCCATTGGCTGTTAATACCTTTGAAGTGGTTGAGAGTGAAGCTGGGATCTCCCTTTCTCTGTTCTCTCTGTTCCTCTGGCTGATTGTAAAGAGTTCATATGAGTATGTCTTATTTTACTTTTTAAATACATTTTAGTTTAGTTTATTATTTTTCTCTTTATGCTTTTATCTTGTTCTTATTTGTATGTATTATATTTCTATTAATCAATAAATGTATTTAATGTTTTCTGTAAATATGGCATGGATGTGCTCTCTGATCTCTATTTTAAATTACCTTAATTGAGACATAATGTAATATATTTCAATAAACATGGTAAAAAAAAATATCTACATAATATTTATATATATATTTTTTTGTTTAGGTGAGTATTGGAATAAAATCAGAAATTCATTTAACATCTTATCTCAGTAACATGTGAGTACCCTTAATTTTCATTATCTGTTCTTAATACTTCATTATTATTATTATCAATGATAAATTATACATATAATAAAATAGAGTATGAAAACTTCCGATCCTAATCCGATTTTAGCAGAAAATTATTTTCTGTTATGTCAGCCATGTATCTCACTAGCGGATCCAGAGTTTAATTTTTGGGGGATGGCTTCATCCCGAAAGTTTTTTTTTCATATATATAACGATAATTAATTTGAAAAAAAAAGAAAAAAACTACCTATATGATATGGTGTTAAAGTGATTTTTGAAGTCCTATTAAATACAATTACACTAACAAGAATACTTTAAGAGATAGTTTTTAATATTTTTTTCTATAAAACATGGTAATATCACCATTTTTGTGGGGGGGGAGGAGGCTTCAGCCCGAAAGCTGGTAGGTGTGTGTATCTGGTAGAGATGGGCAAATGGCAACCACCAAATGCAAATGTAAAGTACCAATTATTTTACTCAAATATTGGCTTTTATTTGAGTGCCAAAGAATTTCAGATTTTTCCCATCTCTGGTATCTGGGGTCCATGGCACTTTTTGGTAGACATAGTCTCTATAAGTTCGATAACTATGCTTAACTAGGTTGAGTATCGAGGATGAGGTAAAAAAAAAAGGATGAGGTTTTTATCAGTGTTTACATAATTATTCTTCTTGTTCATGATACATTTTTATACTTTGTTTTATTTACTTACTGTCAAACTAAATCCGTATTATAGTATGTATCATAAAATATTTGTATTATGAAGTAAGTGATATTACATGCTGTCGTAATCTCTTAAAAATGTGGATTTATTCACACCCCATGGGAGGCAGAACGGTGGAGATTTCTTCCGCGGCCACTTCTTTCCGTTCTGATCCTGAAGATATGCCACGTTTTTTTTCAGCGTCATTGTTTACTCTTTACGGTAGTGTCGAGGTTATCCCAACTTTCGCGAATTTCTCTCCTTTTTACACGTTACTTCTAAACACTGTTCTTTATGTATAGTACCGCCGCTGGAATCGTGAGATCTTATCTCTGTAGAAGTTTTTTGTATCTTCGAAGTCATCCAGTGTTGAAGAGTAAGTTCCTGCCTTCCGTGGCTAGTGCCAAATATACTACCTCATCATAAAATTTACTTGATTGAGAAAAATATTTAATATAAAAAAGTATCCCAAATCTTGAAAAAAAACATGTTTTCAAAAAAAAATAACAACGCTTATTTCCAAAGTGAACTCTTCCTTTCGAAAATCGAGAAGTGTCGATTTCAATATAAAAAAACTCAACCATCCTGGTTGATATTATAAAAACTATCATGAATATTAAAACAATGATGTGAAAATTAGTTTAAATCCGGCACTGTTTTTAGTTTATTTTTTATTATATATATATTTTTTAAACTTGCTTTCCTAAAGTTTCCTTAAAAACAATAATTCATCTAAAGTTTTTTTTTTTTTGCTAAGGTCATTTGACAATGTTTATAACTTTTTATATTAAAGAAACGGAACTTGTCAATTAAATCTCTTCAAACCCGGTCTTATTTAAGTTAGAAATCAAATATTTCTTAATTTATTTTTCTTTACTTGATTAGTGTTCACTTTAAAAATTAACTACTCAAATTGTTTCCTTATAGTTTGTTTTAATTAAATTAATTAATTAAAATGGATTAAATGGTCCTTATCATTTTAACATTTATTTATGCCATAACAACGAGTTTCGAGTCAATTGATTCATTTTCAAGTTATCTCAATTCAATGACATTTCCAACGTATTTTCATATTGTATAGTGCAATTCTACTCTTTATTATTAGCCCAATGATATATATAAAAAAACAATATTCCTCGCATTTTGTTCTAATTTAAACAAATGGGTGTCAATTTAAAAAAAACCAAATCCGGCAGTGCCTTTACTTTCCTTCTCAAATAAAAATAAAAAGGCTTCAAGCCACAAGTGCTGAAAATGTACACAGCTTATTCCTCCTTAGATTACCTTCAGGTAATAAAAGTCCATTGTTATCTGTATGTACAGATATTGTATTTTGTTACATTATTGAACTTTTCTGGTTGGATTAGGAGAACAATAAAAAACTTCTTTATAGTAGAGTTCATGAGACAGGGATACAACGTACCTCCCTCTATAAATATATTATATTGCATGTACTTATATATGTAGTTGTTGAAAATAAAAAAACTTTTTGTAGTACTGAGAAATAAAAGGTACTACCGTGTGTCACGATTTTAAAATCAGTTCCCATGCTATATATACATGTATTCATCAAAATAAAATTATGGAGTTACGGAAAAACAAAACAAAGAAAAATCCTTTTATTGTTTAAAATTGACTGCTTATAATAAAAGGAGGTGCATTCACTCACTGGGTTTCAGTTTTTTTGACATTGATTGACATCCATTCGATTCAATGCCTATAAAATGCAAGGAATATTGTTGGTTTTATGTTGAATGTTTTATGAGATAATTGCAATAAAACTGTACAGTTGCTCAACTATGTTGAGTTGTTAAATGACCCGGCATATTGATCAGTCCTGATCGATAATATTTAATATGAAAATATGTTGGAAATATCATTGATTTTCGATTAGCTATTTGATGCGAAACCTTGTTATGATTTAAATAAATGGTAAAATTATAAAGGCAATTCAATCCTTGATAAACGTTTTTAAGTATATTAAGTCCCTTGAAAAACGTAGTACTGTAAAGAAACTAATGTTTTTTTTTTTCAAATCTCCATCCGCTTCTGTCATGGTAGTGACAATTAGCAGATTTATATAGTTGTTATGTTATTAAAGTTAATTTTCTTTCTTAAATCAGGAGAGGAGATCTCTCATCCTGTTCCTTTTCAGTCGCCTTCAGATGAGCATGTCAGTTGTGGCCATGTCGTTTTATAAGTCTATTGTGTCCGTGTAGTTTACTTTGAAATCGATAGTAAAGAGTGTGTATCTATTGGTCGATAGTTGGTTGTCGTTAGTCCCTATTGTTGCTTACGTACCAAAGAGCTGATGTTATTAGTCTTAAAATTTTGGATTGGAAAGATCGTAGTTTTTGTAAGTGCGTCTTTTTTTGGCCGAACTGAAGATCTGTGAGGCGTATGTCCATATGGGTTTGAGCAGATATGTGTATTTATTTAACTTTGGCCTGATTTTAAATTTTGTATAGAGAGTATAGTATTTTCAGTCGCTAAATTTTCAACTACTAAATTTGTTTAATTTTTAATTGTGGATAGATGGTTGACTGTCGTGAATAATGAAGAGAAGAATAGTTGGGGTGATCAGTCAAATAAGAAGGCAAAAATAAATGATAATATTTATTTTGACATTTGCCGACGTTTCGACCTGAAGTTCAGGCCTTCATCAGGGCTAAGAAAAGAACCAGATAACAAGGTATGAGAAAAATAAGTAGTGTAGGTAAAAAAAAATTAAAGTAAAATGCAGTTGTTAGAATAATGACATTAGTAAGAACTGAGAGGTAAATAATAATAACCGGTACAAAGTGTTTAATTTTTGTTGATAACAATTTCAATAGCTAATTCGGTTAAATGAGTAATTTCCCGAAAAATATTAGGACTATGAAGGACTTGTAGAGCGGAGGTAGTAATCTGCAGACAACGCCCACGAGGACGAATCATTCAATCAGTGTCGTCGCCGTTGCAATAAAAACCTGATTGATTCTGACCGCTGGAAGGGGCTGAAGGAAGAGGAAGGGCTTTCGGTGGGCATGTCCGAGTCTCGAGATCGTGGTTTTTAGAATTTTGAGAGATTAAAAATAAAAATCAGACTCGTACTAAGCCTTCGTCATTTCATTTATGAAAAGGAGCTATGTCCTGGAGTTGAGTGTGCCTAAGGGACTTAGGCTTAGAGGGAAGAAAAGAGATCCTGATAAAGGAGGAGATAGAGAAAGCGATGAAGAAGTGGATGAAATAGAAGAGATGTGGTAGGGGCGGTAACACGTGACCACTCCCAGGGGATATGGGACCTTATTCCGCGGGACGTGCTGGGATCTCCCGTCCCATTCTAATGCCCCCTTGCTATATGTTAGGGATTACTTTCTCCCATCATTTTTGAAATGCGGGGCCAAACCTTTTGACTTTTCCTTTTTGTTTATGATTAAATCATAGCGGTCTCTTCTTCCTTAGCTCTTCCAAAATTAATATTCGAGGAAGTTAAGATGATAGTGGTGTGTCAATTTCGAAAGAAATTGAATGGTTTTAATATTCGATTGCTCCAGACCTGGGAAAAATGTATTTTTATTATTATGAGGAGTTAATCGGGAGGTGCGGTCAAATAAATAGTAAATTAAAATATAGTAATTATTTAATTTTTGCCGACGTTACGACCTACTTTGCAGGTCGTCTTCAGGGCTACAAAAGATAAAAAACATGGTGAAATTAAAAAAGAATATAAGTAGGTATAAAATAAGAAAAGGTTGTCAGATACGGAAATAAAAAGATAATATCAGAGATATAGTGGGTGACAATGTAGTTAAAATATCAAGTATTATATATGTAGAAGATACAAACAAATGGAAAATAAATATGAATAAAAAAAAAATAAAGGAGAATATAGCATGTAAGTTTTATTTTTATTCATATTTATTTTCCATTTGTTTGGATCTTCTAAATATATAATACTTGATATTTTAACTGCATTGTCACCCACTATATCTCTGATATTATCTTTTATTTCCGTATCTGACTTTTTCTTATTTTATACCTACTTATATTCTTTTTTTATTTTCACCATGTTTTGTATCTTTTGTAGCCCTGAAGACGACCTGCAAAGTGGGTCGAAACGTCGGCAAAAATTAAATAATTACTATATTTTAATTTAGTAATTATTTGACCGCACCCCCCGATTAACTACTTCTCATATTATATCAACGGTCAACCATCTCTACATCATTATTTTAATTATTACTTCATTCTACTTCTCGACATCACATTCGCTGGTTGGTGATACATCTGGTGGTTGGTGATACAGGTGAAAATAAGGATAAAAAAAATATTTTAAAATACAAAGTTTTTTTTTTATTATTATTTTAATGGAATTTACAACTGTATTACATAGAGAATACAATAAGTAAATGAGAAATTTGTAACATGGCATGTACAACATGAAGAGAAACTACCCATTGGTAGAACTCAAATTAAAATTCTATATTAGAAGATCCCGAGGCCATCTTCTTTTCAGAGATCGAGGAGGAAGCAAGCTTTGAAACAAGTAGGTTCGGATGGTTCTGCAATTTCTTATGGAAGGATAGGTATCTGGATTGGGCCAAATAGGAAACATATGGAACATTAAGATCTTTATCGATGATTTTATTTGTGACAAAGTAAGGAGCGTTGAAAATACAAAGTATTTTTTTTTTTCAAAATAAGGTGTATTTAAATATATGTACTAAAATTTGTATGTTAGGACTTCACCTTAATATTAATAATAAAACCACATATTTGATCGCTTTAGTCCTACTTTATTTTTTTTTTCATCTACGTTTTAGCCCTCAAGGGGAAGAATAGGGAAGGCAAAAAACATATTTTAATAATTAAAAATTATTATGGACTAAGTTATCCTTGTCAACTTCCTAAGGGCTGAAACGTTAATGTAAAAAAACAAACAAATAAAGTAGGACTATTGTGATCAAATGTGTGGTTGTATTATTACTATTGAAGTGTATTTAAATTACAAAATAAAAAATATATACGTTTTATGAAGTGGTGATTTACAACTAGTTCTTTTAAAATATGTTTATTGTGATGAAATAAGAGCTATGATATCTAATTTTCAAGTGATTAATTGGAAATAAATGATTTTATTCAAGTTATATTATTTTCGAAATAATAAAAATGACGGTTTGTCAAATCATTTCAATTAAATTCCTTAGTAGGATTTCATAAAACGAACCATACCTTTTTCTTTGCTGAAAAGTATATTTTATTTTTTAACTAAACATCGTTCAACCTTTCCTGTTTTTTTTTTTCACATAGTATGTTCCTCTACCCTTTTCTACGAAAAGACTCGGATGTTCTTAATATTATTTATTATTATTATTTTTTAATATGATATAGGCTAATCAATTTTATGATTAAAGATTATTATATTACAAATTGAACGCAATCGACTTTAACAAATTTCGGTAATTCATTTTGTGTAATTATAATACAATATTGTTTTGTTAATACATCTTTATTGAATAATTTTACATATTGAAAATAATCAAGTCAGTAGTATTAAGTAGAATAAGAGTAAAATAACACAAATTAAAATAAATATATATTTATTTATAAATAAAAAAGAAACTTAATGAAATAAAAAATAAAAAAAGTAGTAAAGAACTTTAACACACATATATAAAATTTAATATACCTACCTATATGAACTAAAACTAACTATTTATTCTGTATAAGTCCTCGTTATTTCAGCAAACTTTGTCAAAGTTGTAAGTAAGTCAGATGATGTTTATTCCTTGGTCGGCTGTTAATTTTTCATTTCCTGAGCTGAGTGGGCCAGACCGATGTAAAAGGTACTCCCTTTCTTAAAAAAAAGATAAAGGGAAAAAGAATAAAAATAGCTCCAGAAAAATAATTGGGTGCTTTTTTACAAACTCATCCCGTGTCAAGGCATCTTGGTTTCATTTCCGGACTGATGAATTGAACTTTTAATACTTAATGTGTCTTAGTTGTTTTTATCGCTATCTTGAGTCCATTATTATTTTTAATTATGTGCAAAGAATTATATGAAATATCAATTATATCAATTTTTTAGTTGTAAAGTGAATTGTTGAACTATGTTGGTTGGTTGGTTGGTTATATAGTCAAGACTTAAAACCTGTTGGTTGTCCAAGCCGTTAATTAAGTATTATTATATCTTCTTGTTGTAAATACTAGAAATGAAATTATATAGACGTAAAATGTACGTTTAGTTTTAGGTTATTTAAGGTTAAGTTTAAAGTTAGTATGGTGAGTAAAAACTATGGGGGGAGGGATGAAGGTGCTACGGGAGAAATTCAGTGATTTTTAAAGATTCCTTCTTGAGGTAGAAAATATGTGACTTTACTGAAGATTTTGTCATCATTTCCTAAATAAGTTGATGTATTTGCTGGTATTTTCTTTTTGTTTAATGCTTTGATGTAATAGGCACAACTCTCAAAGATATATGGAACATGGAATCATTCTCTCTCCACACCTCTGACAAATGAGTGGGTTTTCTTTTGTAATTAAGTGTGAAGGTGCGTAAGCCTGGTATGTTCTGTTCTCAGTAGCCTAGGGGCAACTTCCTCTCTGCGTTTACTGCTCTATGGGTTCACTTCATTTTTTCTGACCTTTTGGAGGATTGTTGTCCCATAGTGTCTGTCAATGTTAGTATATGGCCTCTTTCAGGTTCCGCGCCAGTTCGTTTCTTTTGCTACTCTATCAGGCATTTCAATCCCAACAATGCCTACTTGACCGGGATACCATAAAAAAATGTACTAATGTTCCTATGGTATTTAGCTGTTTTATGACCCCCAAAAAAGCTTTTATGTTTTGAGTTCTGTTTCCCATTCGTTAAGCTTACTTGTTCATAACATTTTCTTAGTGGTTTTATTTGAATTTGTTTTTGTATTTCTTAAACCGTTTGGTCTGTTTGGTAATTCGCTTTCGTAAATCATTGTTCAAGCTACAAAAATGTTTTCTCTGATATATATATTTGATAATGTATATATATATTCTTGTTGTTGTTTATATGATTCTGTATATATATTGATAATGTGTATTCTTAAAATATTTTTGATTTATTCAATTTTATAGTATGTACTCTCCTTCGTCATAAAAGGTATGCGAACTTGTTAAATTTGAATAAAAAAAATGTTTTTGCTATATTGAAGTAATATAATTGTATGTTATAAAATTATGAATGGTTATTAATCAAATTGTAAATAAAAAAGAAGGTTGTTAGCATGAGGTAAAAAAAAAAAGAAAAGAAAGAATTGTCATATCATTTAGACTGAACATTTTCCCCTTCCTGACTAATGTCTTACATTGTTTTATTTTCGATAAAAAATATTATTGTTAATAAAAATAAAACATTATTATTACTATTAAAACCTTTATCGGTATATAACCAAGTATTTCAATTATTTCAAATTCGGATATAGTTCAAGTAAATGTAGCAGCATTAATGTTAATTGCAGGCCATATTTAACTCCTTATATATTTATTAGTGTTGCAAAAATACTAATATATTTTTATTAATAATTTCAAACTTGAAATTCCGTCATCCAGGTTTTTTATATTTCAGTAATGAATTATCGAATTGTTAATACAGTCTTGTATGGTATGATTTTACTATCTGAGCGTGTGTATTCATAGATAAAACCACAGTGGGCGGAACTTGTGATTATCAAGTTCCTGTTAGATAATTTATGATTTCTAAAAACCTGCCAGTCGTTTTGCTAGGTACTACAGTGGCCTTACAAAGTTTTTATTCTATAAATAATGAATTAAAATTGTATTTTCCAGTGCTTGTTTCCTGGATGTTGAAATAATCAACCTTCCCTCTGAAAGGTATATTCATTGTTATCAATGTTAAAGCTATTCAAAGTCGTTAGAAGACACGTGATTGTTATATTACATAACGTTAAAATATGTTGCTATTACTAAAATTCTTATGAAGTAACCTCGTTTTGCTACTTAAATATTTAATTTAGATATTAAATAAAATTATAAATAATATAATTACTTGAT